CCGGAGCACGTAGTGCCCTGGTCTCTATTAAAAACACATTCCACGATGACATTGTGGGCGGAGTTACCTGACCACTACGCCCTTCTCTGTGTAGGCCCTTCCTCTCTAGATAGCAGAGTCCGCGTTCACACATTGTGAAAGTGAAGAACTGACAAATCGCAGAAATGGGAGAATTAACGAAACTGCAAAGAGGAATGTAAACTTACTGATCCGAAAAATCTATGAATTGAAGGTCTGACGAACGATACAGATGCTTTTTGGTGATTTCCCCAATGCTTCCAATTCCACAATTCCCGTTTCTTCAAACGACTCTCTAGCGTCGCAAGGTATGAACGTAGCCAGCGGGATGCGCACACAATGCTTTGACTAACTCCGCCCACACAATCAACATGGAATGTACCTTTCATGAGCGCCACAGCAAGTTTCACGTTGATGTACGATCAGGAGCACCTTATTTTCAGACTAAACAAGACAAGGTGAATTCCTTTCATGAGATTTCCATCCTCGTGAGTCAACATTCTACCATTAGTAAGCCGCGGTACTACTCCAGTGATAAGCATCTGTAGCAATCCGTTGAAGATACGGAAGCAGCACCGTATTCAACATAAAATTAGCAGAATTAGCTCGTTGTATGTTGAATGACCATTAATACATCAAAGTAGCAGGTGTGTTTCAGAACCTTCTCGACAACCTTCTAGGCGTAGTGACTCGATTGAAAACTATAGAAGCGCAAATGCTACGCATGCGTAATGAGTGCCAGGAACGCGAGAAAATATGGGAGGCAGTGGAACGTGAGGTGAAGGACCTCGAAGAGAAGGTGAATGCTTTTAGACTGAACGAAAAATTGCAGTCTCCGGCACACTTGTGTGGTCAGCATTGAAGACCATGCCGTCCACATGACGGGTATGCCTACCCATCGATCCCATCTCTCATGCGCATCGCATTTCCTAACTTACCGGGAGTTTGAACCCTTTTACCAGTGTCCCCCCCGGTCAAGACGCAAAAAAGCAGCCTCATCCCCTATGAAAGTACATAAGCTTCCTGAGGTTAGAGCTGAGAGATAGGAAACCCGAGAGCCAACAAATATGGCGACCTGATTCAGTAGGTATGTTTTTTTAGGTACCAGTACGAATTTGTAAATCTAGCCACTTAATTTTGAGAAAGAGCGAAAAGTTACAAAAACGCCCCGATAGGCATGCTCGATTTTCAAACCAGCAGCCACTGAGAAAGTAGTGACCACACCTGCACAATAAGGACGACCTGGAAAATCAACATTTACCCAATAGCTGAGCGCACAAACCCGTAGGAAGCACTTCACCCTCTGTACACTTCTAGGTATAATCTCAAAATGGCCGGTTTTGTAGGCATGGCCGCAGGACATGCAGTCCGCTGCGGCGTTTCAGAGGCAGAGTTTCGCGCACCGTCACTTGTCAGCTCCCACGACTGGTGGAGAACAGGATGGCGTCGCGTCAAACCCAGCCCCTCACCCTATCACCACGCAACCTTGAAGTCGCGTCCGCAGCGTTACGAGACCATACAGCCCGTAGTAATGTTGTTGTGGTGCTGCTAGCAAGGCCACTGACTTCTTTTGCCAGCCGGACAATGCTGCACCGAACGTCCCGCCGCATAGGACCGCAGGACACTGTATGGGCGAGGTTTCTAGCCATAAGCTAGAAACCGCTAAATCGCTAGCTCAGCTATTACTGACGAAGGCTTGTTACAGACCTGCCGTTCTTGCAGACTAGAAAATTTCTTCCTCTCAAGTAATTATGCAATGTTTATTTTTAATCTAAAAATAAGAGTAGCTGTTTTCAGGCTGTGATCTATCGTTATAGAGTCATGGAAACGCAATCGATGCACGATGATGAGAAACATTAGAATATCTGCAAAATTACACTTTTACTGTCGCCTCTCTACTATAAAGCTTATTCTCTTAACTGCTTTTTGGAGTGACACTAAAATTTATACGCGGACGGGGTTGGTGTCGTGGAGGGTAACTCGCTTACCAGGCTCGTGGCCGGGTATCAACTACCGGGTCGGCCTCCATCTAGGCCAACCAAGCCTTCTACCCTCCGGGGACGGTAAATTGGTACCAGATTCGTCTGGGAGGATAAAACACTGACTTGTACATCGGCTGGCCACCGCAAGTCATTGTGTGGGCCACATCGCATTCAATAAGCCACTATGAATCTTAATGGGAGTGAAAAGCGAGGCGCGCGCGGAGGATTTTACCCTTCATCCTCCATATTACACTGATGTGATAATCCCTCATGTTTCACACTAACTCAAGTGGCAAAGCCACAATTCACAAAACACACAACACTGGTTGAGCGAAGTTCTTCTATGTGAGCAAGTAATTTTATGGCGGTGAAGCAACAGTCTTTGTTCTGAGTACACACATCGCTAAATAAGTAGCATTTCAAGACCGGACGCGGGCGGTCGCGACGCTTCACACATCTGAGTTGAGCGGTAGCGAGAGCTTGCCGCACTACATGCCCGAATTTTCGCCATGAATCCATGAGATAAAGAATTTCAAGGTTTGATCGCTTTCAAGGAGGACTTCAAGGTTTATTCGCCCTTAAACGGTATGAATGTTCGTGCCAGTTGCCGTTGACGCGACCGCGCGCGTCCTTGGAAAGTCTAGTCTTTGAAAGAACAGCCAGTCGGACGGAATCCAGTCGTTATAATGGTTTTATGTGAAGAGAAACAACGTGAAGAGAAACAACAAAAAGAAAACAAATCAGTTGCAAGTCCGGTCCCATAGGGTCAAGTAGAGGACTTTTCGTGTAAAACTGGGATTACCGTGGTCGAGACGAAGACTTTTGTCTAACACCGGTAATCATTCTTTTTCTACAGCAGGAGCCTCTCGGATGCCCCACCCTCCACCTCATCTCAAGCGGACTTGCCCCAGAAATCAGTTCCCTAATAAGAGCATGAGATCCAGGTAACTATGAAAGTTACTCAACCAACTTCTTCCACATATACTGATGATCTGCAATCGATACTGGGGCCAATGGTGTTTTCTTCACCGGAACAGGAGGCGGTGGTGGCACCGGCATGGGCGGAGCTGGTGGTGATGGAGGTGATTTTGGCTGTTCCAAAGTTTCTGCATTGTCGCGTTCTTGCACAGGGTTGTCTCGTCGATGTTGACTTCGGTTATCTGGTAGTTGCGGGTCCTGAAGGAGCAGAGCATTTTTGGCGTACCTATTTACAGTCGTGTTCGCTGCGAACGGTGGGACCAGGTGAGAACCCGTCAAGGACCGGGTTCGGCACGACGCCAGCCCGTTTTCCACCTAATGTTGTCGCTTACCCCGCTTTCACGAGGGTGGGCAATGGGCTGACGTCACGCCAAACCCAGCCTACCTAACACACCCCCACATCCGCAGCGAACGTGACTTTACAATTGACTTTTCTGAAGGTGCAGTCCCATGAACGAAGATATGATCCGGCCAGAGCATCTAAGCCTTCCGACCAAACGACGGCTCTTTTTCTGGCGCTCAACCTTATTTCTAGACATTACAGAACAAACGAAGTGGGCGCAGGGTAATCTCGTCTTCCTAGCTCCTCTCCACACCCATTCAGGCACCGTCAGACTTCGCGAATGCAGCGCTTCGGCCGCGCTTTCGACGCGATCGATGTGCATGCTTTCGACTGCATTGATCGCGTCGAACGCGCGACCGAAGCGCTGCCATTCGCGAAGTCTGAACGGTGCCTCAGAGGAAGACATAAGTTACCTTGAGATTTGGCACAGGAAACACGGATGTAGCTGTTGTAGAGTGGAGAATGGGGTCGCACTTCTTGTATCCGCACCTTTCGTAGAAGATCACTTGATCGTCAGTACAGAGGTAGGCCTGCAACATTGAATATCAAGAGTGGTCTACATGAGCCTACCAAAAATTCACAGGAGCTATTATTTTGTCCCAAAACGATCTTACAAAGCTATATGTAAATCA